ATAAATGTAATCCAACACATCAACAGAGCCAAGGTCAAGAACCACATGGTTATCTTCAGTGATGCAGAAAAGGCTTTTGATAAAATACAACATTCATTCATGTTAAAATCTCTGGAAAAAATTGGAATAGAAGGAACATTCCTTAAAACAATAAAGGCCTTATATGACAGACCAACAGCCAATATCATACTTAATGGGGAAAAGCTACAACCAATTCCCCTATAAACAGGAACAAGGCAAGGATACCCCCTCTCCCCACTCTTATTCAATATAGTTCTGGAATCCTTAGCCAGAGCAATAAGGCAGGAAAAAGACATTAAAGGGATCCGCATAGGGGAGGAAGAAGTTAAACTATCTCTTTTTGCAGATGACATGATTTTATATAATCCCAAAGGCTCCATCCTCAAACTCTTAGAGCTTATAAACCACTTCAGCAAAGTAGCAGGATATAAAATTAACCCACAAAAATCAGTCACCTTTCTGTGCACCAACAATGTACAAGCAGAAAGGGAAATCAAGGAAACAACCCCGTTTGTAATGACCTCAAAAAAAAAAGGATCTAGGAATTAACCTTACCAAAAATGTAAAGGATCTATTTCCTGAAAACTATAATAACCTAAAAAAAGAATCATAGAGGATACCAGGAAATGGAAAAATCTCCCATCTTCCTGGATAGGCAGAATTAACATAGTGAAAATGTCTATACTGCCAAAATTGATATACACATTCAATGCAATTTCCATTAAAATCCCAATGACATACTTTACTGAGATAGAGAAAACAGTCCAAAAGTTCATATGGAACAACTAAAGACCTACAATAGCCAAAGCAATTCTAGGCAAAAGAAACAATGCAGGAGGGATCATGATACCGAATTTCAAGCTCTACTATAGAACCATAATAACAAAGACAGCTTGGTACTGGTACAAAAAGAGACCTGAAGACCAATGGAACAGACTAGAGGACCGAAAAATAAAGCCGCATATGTACAGTCAGTTGATATTTGACAAAGGAGTCAAAGATATACAGTGGAAGAATCATAACCTCTTCAACTATTGGTGCTGGGAAAACTGGGTGGCCACATGTAGAAAACTGAAAGTGGACCCTAGCCTATCATTATGCACTAACATCAACTCAAAATGGATTAAAGACCTTAACATCAAACCTGATACTCTGAAACTACGGCAGGACAGAGTAGGAAAGACACCTGAACTTATAGGCACAGGCAGGAACTTCCTGAACAGAGTCCCAAGGTCACAACAAATTGGAGAGAGACTCGACAAATGGGACTACCTTAAAATAAAAGGCTTCTGCACAGACAAAGAAATAGCAAGCAAACTAGAAAGACAGCCAACTAATTGGGAAAAAATATTTACCAGCAAAATATCAGAAAAGGCTCTAATATCCATTATATACAGGGAACTCAAGAAACTAATCCCTCCCAAATCTAACAAACCAATCATGAAATGGGCAAGGGAACTAAAGAGAGATTTCTCAGATGAAGAGATAAAAATAACAAATAAACACATGAGGAAATGTTCACCAACCCTGGTTGTGAAGGAAATGCAAATAAAAACAACACTGAGATACCACCTTACCCCAGTCAGAATGTCCCACATCCTAAAGTCAGCCAACAACAAATGCTGGAGGGGATGCGGAGAAAGAGGAACCCTATTACACTGCTGGTGGGAATGTACACTTAGACACCACTTTGGAAAGCAGTCTGGAGGTACTCAGACCTCACCTATGACCCAGTCATACCACTCCTAGGCATCTACCCTGAGCAACAGGAACCAGTGTACAAGGACACGTGCACCTCCATGTTCATTGCAGCACTGTTCACAATAGCCAAGATTTGGAACCAACCCAGATGCCCCACAACTGATGAGTGGATCAAAAAATTGTGGTACCTATATACAATGGAATATTATGCAGCCATTAGAAAGGACAAAATAATGACATTTTCAGGGAAATGGATGGAACTAGAGCAGATTATTTTGAACAAAGTACACCAAGAACAAACAGACAAACAGTACATGGTCTCCCTGATATGTGGATGCTAAAGCCAAAATACAAGAAGATATGGCAAACAGGACTCAAGAAACAAAGGACAGCCACTCATTTTTTCATATCATTTTTTCATATCATTGCTAAATGACTCCATGTTGTATACCATATATATTGAGATATATGCACGCAACAGAGGGAAGCCAGGAAGAAGAACAGAATAAGTGGGAACAGCCCACACTAAGCAAAAGGAAAGAAATATAAACATCACCTGATGTAGAAAAAGTAACTTGTAATGTCAAAGCTCATAGAATTCACAAACTGTACAGACCATGATAATGACAATTTGCCTTGTGAAAGTTAAAATGTGTTTGTGACTCTATCACTATTCTACAATACTGTGAAATATGTGAAATTTATGTGATCACCTAATCTCTATTAAAGAAAAAAAGTGAGAGAAGGGATAGGTTAAGAGAGGTGGGTGAGGGAGG